TGAACAAGAACGTGCTGCGCGACTTGATGGACTCGGCTGTGTCAGGCAGACGAAAGAAGACACTGGCGACGATGAGAGTCTGAAAGAGGTTGAGGACGAGCATCATCACCGTCATCTGCGGCGAGGCCTTGAGGAGCGCGAGTGCACGCCATAGACACAGGAGAACCTGGCGTGGGTACGAGAGTGTGTAGGGAGACTTCCATCGTTGCATCCAAGACTGATCACTCTTCTTGCTCTCGAGGAACTCGGCAAAGTGTGTGCGTGAGTTGCGCGGGCCACTGCTGCTTAGGGAAAAGGATGCGTCGTAGGAGTCTAGTTCATCGCCGAGATTGCGGCGGAGACTGCTCGTCCGCCACGCCTCGGCGAACTCATCTGGAGTACGCGGGACCTTTTGCTCGTAGCCAGGCTTGACGATGCCCTCACGCTCGGCGGGGCTGGTCATGGATGTCAGAAAGTCTGGTGTCGTTTGGATCTTGGGACAAACGAAGCCCAGCCGCTGGAAGTAGCGTTTGGCTTCTGTCGTCTTCCCAAAGTATATCTGTCGTCCTTCGTAGAGAACCAGTACTTTATCAAACAGCTCGTAGGCCTCTTCGGGTGCTTGATAGATGGCGACCATGCTTACCATACCCATGATATCGCTCTGGACGCGCAAGTTCTTGCAGAGATCGACAGTCGCAGCGCTATCGAGCCCGCGCGTGCTGTTGTCCCAGCATTGGATCGGCGCGAAACTCAGCGCCGCCTCAGCAATGCTCACACGCTTGCGCTCGCCGCCAGATACGCCGCGTACTGTATCGCCATCTGTCCCGCCAACTGGTGTCTGCATCGTGTGCTGAATCCCCAGCATGGCCATAGTCACGTCGCGCACCCAGGTCGCATACTCGTCTGCAGAAAGCCCAGCGGGCCGTGTCCTAGGAGCTCTCGCCCTCGCTGCGAAAAAGAGTGTGTCTGCTACCGAGAGTGCTGGAAAGTGAACGTCCTCTTCGGCAGTGTAGATGGCGTCGCCTTTGAAGTAGCGCTTCATCTCATCGGCACTTACACCGCGGTAGTTAAGGTGAGAATCCTCTGCCACCTGCGTGCCTTGCGTGTCTCCCGCCATTGTACGTAAAAAGGTCGAACAGCCACTGCCTGGAGGGCCCAGCACGCAAAGCATCTCGCCATCGTTGACGACTCCCTCGAGGTCATGCAGGATGCGCACCTGTTGACGCTTTATACGCAATAAGCCACGCATAGCTCCTGCAGCTTTGAGCCACCATGCGTTGCCCACCGTTGTTTGGAAGGCTGTGTCGGACCCGTAGCCCGAGACATTGAGCTTGCGATAGGCGACACCGGCCTTACGCACTTCGCAGCTGTCGGAGCGGAGGCGATAGAATGCTTTGGCCCATTCCCGGGCGTCAAAGTTGTTGCCAAAGGGATCGAGGGGTCCATCTTGCTTAGGAGCCTTTGAGACGTCTAGCACAGAGTCGCTTTGAGTCGAAGATAAAGAAGCTTCACCATTTTGTTGTTGTTTCTCAAGGAAAGACTTTGCTAGGTCTACGAGATCTGTAATGGCCTTGTATTCGTCCGCAGATATGTGTACAGATCTCGGCCGATTGTCACTGGGAGGTGGAGCGCCTGGAAAACTTAGAAGAGAGGCGCGATGCCGAGATGGACGCGAAGATCGTAGAACTGGCCGCTCGTTCTCTGCCTTTTCGTCGGTGGAGGGTGCGGTAGACATGGCTTTAGTTGACCGAGATGTAGGCGTGTCAAGCTGGAAAAGCCGGTCTGGCAAGGCGGTGTTATCGAAGTTCACTTGATTTAACCTCAACTCTCTGTATGTTTCAACGATTATCAAAAGTGAAGCTTCAAGTGAATTGTGATGTCAACCTTGGATCGGTTGAATTGCTTTGAAGGAATTATGTTACTGAACATACAGTGACCATGACCACATGGTTCTGAAGACACATGTGCCACGCGCTAAGTGCTTGCTAATATCTATCATTAAGTATTCCGAGTGCTGTTCTGGACCATGCCGGAGTGACTGCTGAGACGGGACTGTTTAGATGGGATGGATCACTGAGGTGTGGCAGCAAACTACAACGGCTGGAGACAGCACGAAAGGACGGGATTTCGCATCTAAGCCCGCTCCCTGTTATCTAGCGTCGGGAGTGACTCCGACTGGGACAAAAGTATAAACAACCTAAAACGGAAAGAAAAGTACTTGGCCATAGTTTGGGTATCTGAGTATAAGGTTGGGAATGTGTAAGCAGCTTGGAGGAAATGGATGCGAGCTTGGCAAGTACGGAGTATTCGAATAGAATTTCCCGCCCGTCCGTTGGAACGGATGGCCCGGCACATGAAAGCAAGCAACCCAGTGTGAGCCGCATGGAGCTTTGGCGCTTTCTGTCAACGCGCAACAAACCTTGTTTGACCTTGATCTTGAGTTTAAACGCCGATCAAGAGGGGGGTTACGGATACGGGAGCGAAAGGCTGTCTTGGCGTCATGGGAATCCATCTACTCGGAAACTGATTGAACTCTTTGAGCACTGACGCAATTAACGGCAACCGGCCTACTCTACACTCCCGAGAAACGCAAAACCGACCGCCAAGGTTCATGATGACAGCGTGAACTCTGTTATGCGCCAGACTCATAACAGCAATACTGACCGATATCTCCCTCGAACTGCTGTATGCCGGGTGAAAGTCTACAGTGAAATTGATTGATTAGACTATTCATCACGGAAGAGATAGGCGGTTTGGTGTCAACCGTATAATGCAACCAAGAACTTGAACTAACCTGTGGCCCATGCAACTCTGGCCAATAGCACATGGGAGATTTCTCGCAAGAGACCCGGTCGAATCACGGGATGTTACTTCAGTGAGGATTGCCTATGCCAGAATATTTACCCTTCGGTAAGTAAAGTTCGCACTTTGATCGGTGGAAACAGAAGGGGACAGGAAAGCATAGACCTATCGGCTGCAGCCAAGGTAGTCAAAGAGAGATCAGACGCTCAACCTTTTAAAGAGGAATTAGGTTATCCCACATCACATTATTGTGATGCTCAAAGAGTGAAAATCATATCCTCTCCATGTTCATCTATAGCCATACGTATAAGCAGGTGATTGTTACCAAACGACTGTGATATCACTAGAAGTTACCTTACGTACGGCGCTGAACACAATCAAAAAATGGAAAAGACACACGTCGTCATCGCAGGTGCAGGACCGGTAGGCTTGTTCACAGCATATCTTCTTGCCCGCCAAAAGATTGAGTGCATCATCTTGGAGAGACGCCACAGCATATCGGAGCACCCGAAAGCCCACACCATCAACCCGTCGACACTCGAAATCTTTCGCCAGGCTGGCTTGGATGTGGCCTACATTCGACGACAGACAGCCAACCCAAAAGATGCCGGACATGTTCGGCTTGTCTACGGCCTAGCCGATGCCGAAATTGGCAGCTTTCCATACGAACGCCAAGACGACGGGATGCGCAACTTGACGGCTGAGCCCTTGGTGAACTGGCCGCAGCCGCAGCTGGAGCGACTGCTTGAGAAGGCCGTACTTGAGACTGGCCTCGTTCAAATCAGGAGGGGTTGGCAGGTTGACTCCGTCGACATCACCGATACAGAGGAAGCTGGCTGTATCGTCTCATGCAGCTCTTCAACTGGACGAGGAAACGACATTAGCACCAAGAGACATGGCATCCAGGCTGATTTCATCGTCGGAGCCGACGGCGTCAACTCGACCGTGCGAGCAAAGACAGCCGGTATCGACTTCCAATCCATGGGACCAGGCCACGTCTACCAGTCCATCGTGTGCAAAGGCAGTCTTCGCGCCGCGCTCCCGCCGGGTCGAGAGGCCATGCTCTACTTTTGCTTCCATCCTGAGCACCCCAGCGAGTTCATCGCACACAACCTTGACAACTCCTTTGTCCACGTCACCCCTGTCATGGGCCCGGCGTCGGAGGCACCGCCAATCGAGGCCTGTCTCCCGGGTTTGCAGTACACAGAGGCCCTCCGTACCACCTGGGAGACGGCGCCGCGTGTGGCATCATCATACAGCGACACCAAGTACCGCGTCTTTCTCGTGGGTGATGCCGCGCACAGCTTGCCGCCTCAAGGTGGCCTGGGCCTCAACACAGGCATCGCGGACGCACATAACCTGGTATGGAAGCTCTCTTCCGTCCTCAACGGAAAAGGCACCCAAGACCTTCTTGCCAGCTTCACACGCGAGCGCAGGCCCGTCGCACTAGCGAATCTCGAGTACTCAAAGGCCAGCGAGGCGGCGTTCTACTCCGTCAGTACTTCTCTCGTTGGCCTCGCTATTCAATTCCAGGAGGCAAAGGCACAAGAAGCTCCGGGATTGGACCTCACCATGGACGCGTTCCTCCAACGCCGCGCCGTTTCCGCTGAAGCGGGGGGAGCTGTCAAAGAGGCGAGTAGACACTTTGACTCGCTTGCACTCCAGCTGGGATTCATCTACAATGACCCGTCCTCTACGAAAGCCTTGCTTGATGACCCGACGGTCTATGTGCCGCAAGCGTGTCCTGGGGCAAGGCTGCCGCATGGAAACACGAGTGAGGGGCTGTCTCTCTTGGATCTCGTGCCCTACGATCGATTTACCGTCTTGCACTGCGCAAATCCCGCATTTGCATCTTGCGACTGGGCTGTAGATGTGTCAGGCCTTGGTTTACCGGAGAGTTGGTATGGTGTAGTCCCAGAAATCAAGGGCGGTAAAGGGATCGTTGTCAGACCGGATCACCGAGTGCTAGTGCAAGTAGACAGTCCCGGGCAAGCGGATGCTGCGGTGAAAGAGTATCTGAATCATGGGAAAGTGTAAGAAAGCTAACGGTATGCTCTGCGTCTCTGCAACTTCAATATCAGGATCTTGAGTTTTGTAATGCGGTATTGATTGACATGATCGTCATCGAACTCGTTTACCGTATGACACGGCAATGCAACCTTGACCATTTCAGAAATCAAATCAAGCTTAATTTCAACTTGAAAGTCCCCTATCGTGAACTACGCCTCTTTGACTGAGACAGCTTGCGATAAACGTCCAAGACCAAGACAAATCGCAATCGCTGCTAACATTCCCCATTGCGGAAGCATAGGTCGCCCATCTACAAAGGCCCTTACGGTCCCGTATGTGACGACAGCCCCGTTGAAGAGCAGCGCAGGTTCCCTCGTCTCGGGGACTATGACGGCTGCGCCGACTGCGATGCGTAACGCTGCGCCAAAGTAGCCGGCTTGTCCGGGGGTGAGACGCCGGCGAAAGATTTGCGACATCCACTCGCTTTTGCCGGCGTAGTAGTCTGCCGCGCGGCGGTTGGGAAATGGAATGCCGACGAATGGGAGGGCTGAGAGGATGCATAACCCGCCGAAGGTGTAGGATGCGAGGTTTGAGAGTGTAGAGGTGTCAGTCATCGTGTCTGGTCTCGGTATATCGTGGTTGACTAGAACGGAATGATGAGGGCGGTTGCTTGGCGGGGTAGAGGCTGGAGAGGTATGTGGAGATTTGATGATGAAGCTGGAGGTGAAGATGGTAGCTTGGAGCAGTGACATTCCATATTTGACTGATTCACCCCTTACGTTAATACATCAGAGTCAGCACTAGTCCTCATTGGATCATTAAACATTCACATGTCTTCCAAGACTAGCAGAAAGACTTGGAGTCCCTTGTCACAACCTGGAGACATCGCGTGGATGGTAGACACGTGCAAGATGGGCGCCATCGTCTCGTCATTCATGCTATGATAGGAATGTTACTAGATCTACTTGATCTGCTTTCCCTTGACCAATGGTCTGGCACTTCTAAACCATCGGAGCGCGCCGAGGATCCCCTCCGCAACTCTGGCGAAGGAATCGCTTGCATGTAATAATCGGGCTGCTGCACGTAGCTCGAGTTCCCACCGCGAGAGTCGTGGCCTCGCTGGTAGTCTTTCAATAACGCGTAAAAGAATGCCGTATTTGCGACGATACAGGCGCAAAGTATCTCTATGGATGCCCACTGGAAAGAACTCGTTAGTGGACGATTCTTAAGGTATCACATACACTGGCTGAAAACCTACCATGGAACGAGATCTTTGTGATACTGCCTGGTTCAGTATCATGGGTAGTCGCATGATGGTGATGACGACAACAACGCCAGCGATGCTGAATAAGAGCACGAGCTGCACCTTACTACAGGGGTGTTAGTCCTCAGGCAGTCAAGCAATGAGGCATTCAATGGGTGGATACGAACACTTTGCTGTCGAGTTTAACATGGCGAAAGATAGGAAAGGGGAATATGATAAGCGCAATATCGGTAACGATGTTGAAGACGGCCATTGTGATGAGGTTTCCGAGGGCTCGATGGCAGGTATTGGCGCCAGTAGGATCAGGGGACCACATGCTGTTGATGACCGTGTTAGACCATTTGAAGCCTTTGTCGTTTGCCGGATTGACAAAAAAAGGCAAAGACTTACAAGTAAAGTGGCCGGCATTCCGCAAGAGTGGGTATCAAGATAACAAAAAACGTAATAACAATAAACCACCAAAGAGCATTCGTGACAGCTTTGCCCCATCCAAAGATGTCCACGAAGCGTGAGTAAAAGTTGAGCAGGCAGAGCTTCAACGACCACAAGCTATACAAGAGCACGGCATAGGTCAGCAGTGAACGAATGATAGGCACACCGCCTTGAACTGCAGTTCGCCACATTCGCAACAGTGAGGGTGAGGCGGAATAGACTCAGGCAAGTAGGTGTAAGCGACATACAATAATGCATAGAATATGCGAGCCGGTATAAGCAGCTTGTGTGAGATGACGTAATACTCTGCCAATTTCTCAACACTGAGATTCCGCGCCGCGGCCGCCTCTTCGGTGGCGGCATCATACGTGTGCGTCGGGTTGAGGTAGAAGGAGAGCGAGATGCAAGTCGTGCGGCCGATGAGCGGGAGGAGCGCAAAGGCCATGTAGGCGTCGTCGACGTGCCACATCCGGTGGCAGGTATCGTGGACTTTACATCGTAGGAGAATGCGATAGCCGCAGCGGACGATGATGAGGAGGGCGCAGATGCTGGCCGTGACGATGTCAAAGGTCACATCTGCCGACATTTCTGTGTTGGTGATGTTTTGTCGTCGGGTTCGTGGTTCCAGTGTAAAGTTGATGGCTGGCTGCTGGGGCGCGGCGGCAACGAGGGCCGTTATGCTGGTGCTGACATTGTTGTGTTCTTGTACGTCTTGTCGCAACGCCTCCGTTTCTTCCTCGAGTGAGTTTCCTGTAGTTCTGGCCTTTCTTCTCTTTCGCAGGTTGCTATATCCGTATCCCAATGTGATCTTGATGAACGCTCTCTCTTTGATGAGATTCGAACTGCGCAGTTGCCCCTTGACTGAAAGCGGCCGATGGTACCAAGGTCTCGGGATCCCCAGTGCGCTGAATAAGGGATGGATTCTGATGGTGGTTGCTCTTTTTTGGGAAACGTTTTGACGCCCAAAGTGTGGGGAAAAGGGAAACGCAGATGGGACGAACTTGACAAGGCCTGAAAGGGCACAGCCAGATGTTTAAAGAGGAGGACGGGGGCGGAGCAAGAAACGACCACAGAAAGGCCGTCGCTGAAAGAAGAGCCGCCGAGGAATGGATTGGAAAAGGGAGGGCGGAGTGGGATTCGCAAAAGTAGGTAGGGACGTGGATTCTGAGTCAGCTACTACCACCCACCCCAGCCCAATGCCAAGCCGTCTTTATTCTAGCTTCTGTTGGATTACCGCGCGGGGTTCGAATTCATTCGATCTGGGAAAAGCGCGGGAGGGACGCAAGGGAGGCACAGGAGGAGGCCGGAGACGAGGTACGCTAGATATGTCTGTACTAGAGAGGCACAGAAGAGGCGGAAGAAGAAGGAGGAAGCAAAAGGGGCAAAATGGAGGAAAGAAAGCCGTAGGAGAAGGGGGTGGGAAAGTTGGGTATTTGGAGGAAAGACAAAATGGGAACCGAGTTTGCATGCCGCTAAACTTTAGCAAAGAGGTCATTGATGATGATCCGAGACTGCGGTCCACGAGGTGTGATTCGCGCGATGGCCCGGGGGAACGGTAAAGGGTCGCCAGCATTGCTTTTGCAAGGGTAAACATGGAATGAACGAACGACAAGACAGACCACTCGTCGCGACGGTCAAGACCCAGGGGCCCTGTCACGCTTGTCTGTCTGTCTGTCGGTAACTACTCGTAGTTAGTACGAAGAAGTTGGTGTACGCCATTGTGACGACGAGCTGCTCAGCTCCTGGGATACTGGCACACTGGCACGCTTTCTGCACCGCTTTTGCTGCCCTCTCACTCGGGTTGTCGGGGCCCTAAGCTGCTAAACAGGTCGATGGTTTCAATTTCCCCGCATGGAGATGCATGGGGATACCCATGTAGCCAAGGGCCGTTGGTGATTCGCTTTCGTAACGGGGAACCGGATGTCGAAATGAAGACTTTTCTCGCCCTCTCTCGCGTCGCAGGTGGCGGGCAGGACGGCACGGAGAAAGCAAACGTCTCGCCCGCTGCGTGAGACTATCTGGGGTCCTGTGAGAGACTCTTCGATTTGCCGATTCAGGGGACTTTGATTTGTGAACCTTCACACGAACCGTGATAAAAATACGTCTGGCCAACGGCGCACAACGGCGTCCCTGCCTCTCTCTTTCTGATCGGTGAGGTAAGGATACTAACCTCGTAATTAACCGCCATTCCTCCCCTCGGCGTCTCTTTGAGTTCAGTCTAAAGCCCGACTTCGGGAGGTTGGCATGGGCGCTTGGCCGCTTGTCGAACCCGTCTCGAACCCAAAAATCGGGCTCAGGTCTTCATCGAGTCCTAGCGTTTCGCGCTCGATGCAGCCCGCACCATCGGATGGCAGAATCGGTCCAGAACTTGGCAGACAATGTCCACCATCTAGGTATATCCACAACAGTCTAACAAAGCTGCCAGGCTGGCCGACGAAATCCCAGTCAGCTTGCTGCCCAGCCCATCGATGGCAGGGTTATTGACAGATTGGATTTCTGTCGGGGCACTTGGGTCGAAGCTCCGTCCGTCTCGAGAGCTCCGCACGCCGCCAGTCCCCGGCGATGGGGCGATGGAGAGCTGGGTGCGCACGAGCATTCATTCACTGATCAGTCACCAAAGTTCTCTAAAAGAGCATTCCACCTAGACCGCGTTAGGAACACAAATGGGCCAAAAAGTCGATGTAATCAGGGCTGTGGTAGCATCGCTTCTAGCTCCTGTGGGTTGCCGCAAACCCGCAGCGCGTCTGTCAGACGGCCAGAACACTATTCGAGTGATGTCTCATGCCCTCGTGACTAGACGGACGGACGGGCGAGACGGGATGATCTGCATTTCGCAAAATTACGTGCAGTGAGCACAGTGAGCGCAGTGTCAGCCTGACAGCAGGCTGCCCAATGCTGTCCATGCCGGTCGTGATCTTCCCTGCAGGCTCTGTCTCTCGTTTTTCGGACTGTTGAATAGAGCCTAAATTGGTTGATCATGTCTGAGTTCATCCTTTTGGCCCCTTTGAAAAAGTCCCTGGCCCCCGTGTAGGCTGGCTCATTCAATGATCGACACTCGTTGCCTGCCGTGCAGCGGCGCAGGTGCTTACTCTTACTCAAGGTGTCTGCTCTTTCGGTCCTGCTCGTCCGGACGGCTCTTCTCGGCATCGCGTCTTCATTGCAACCGTCGATAAAATCACAGAAGCCTTTTCATGCAATACGGATACACATATCTCCATTGGAGGTACCTAGTCTAATGTCAGATCGAAGCGTAGTAGGTCTTGTTCTCAGCCACAACTTTCGGGAATCACAGCGCCCGAAGGTCGTTCTTTGTGCCCCCAATCCCCTGCCTGCGCCTCCGAGCCCCGGCTACACCCGTGGACAGCCAAGTGTCGCGCCCACCGGGAATTGTCTGCCGTTTGTGTCTGGTTTAGTTTGGTTGAACCCGCAAAGGCCCCGCAAAAGGAAGTCGTGAATCCTAATAGTGAAGGAATTGAAGCCTGAAGACTTGACGAGAACACGATACTTTCCATAGGATCTAGCTCCGAAGAAGGACCCAAGGGTTTCACTCTAAGGATAGGCCAAACTTTGGCGATGGGGAGCAACCTCGGTGAGAAAGCGGGACCCCGTAGTCGCATGTATCACAAACCTTACTTGCGAACGGGAGTTTACTACGGATAGCGACTAGCAAACAGATCACCTGGAAGAAAATTGAAGTTTTGAACGCAAGGTTTTAGAATTCGCATGACATACCCCTACTTGCCTTCTGAAGTCTCAAACTCTGCTGTACGGGATGCCAGGGGATAGCTTCTGCTATTGATCTTGCTCATGTTCCAAGAACCCTTTTGGTTACAGCATCGCCAAGTCGCCGCCTCGGGAATTAGGAATGTCCCTTTGTGTACCTTCAATCCCGTGTCTGTGTGCCGTCACGTTGGTCGGTATGTATTGTCCACTGGCACCAGCGCGACTGCCACTACAAAGATTTCTGGCCAAGCATTGTATATGGCGATGTGTCAAATACGTCCTTTATCCGTATGGGAGTGCGTGCCGAATGCTCGGTCCGGCGATCTTCTGGGCACATCCGTAAAAACGATCAAAATCCGTACCAGTTCTATCGCAAGGCAAAATAGATTTTTGGTCCGATGACGCAATTAATGTTACTTGCCAGTCGCGACAGCTCCAGCGACTTGTTAATCACGCTACAAACTTGCTTTTTCCACATGCATGTTCGATACGACCCAGGAAGAACATGAACCCTGAGCGTTGCCGGGCAACGCATATTCAAACTTGTCTGCTTCGACGTTTTCGAAAATATCCCATTGAGGCTCCCCATACACCCGCTTCGCGAGAGAGGTTGTAAGTTGATTTGGTCAACATTGCGGCAACGTGGTCCTATATCGGTAGAGCTCTTCTGCATTTCCACGTGAGTTTGCATACGCTCCACGCGTTGTAATTCTCGATCAGCGATGGAAACATCGGAATTAGTATGGCTAGAAGTCGAATTTGATCCCCAAGTGAAGTAGCCGTAAGTGTCACTTAAGGGAAATATATCAGTAACGCTATGGGGAGTCGGCTCAGGGTTCAAAACAATTCTGATTCGTGTACCTATTGGCATGTAGCAGCTAGCAAGAATGAATTGGTTCATCATCTCCCCCATGATCGTAAAATGCAGTCGTTATCTCTATGACATGGATTTCGACTGGGACTCCAGATTCCAGGAATGGCTCTTTTCATCACGTTAGGTGCACGATGCACGGGGTTGAAGATATCCTCGGATGCCGACAAAGTACTATTTGACCTCTGGTTTAATCTTCCAATAGCTCGAAAAGTTATTGAAATATCACTATCGTTGGATTGATCTCTGTTGAAGTAGAAGACTCAGATGGCGATTCACTAATGACGCCTATTGTCAGGATCCTCACTACAGTTTCTGCTTGCTATACCCAAGGCAGGGAACTCGTGTAGTGGCCGAGGCTGGCCACGTTGATAAAAGTATCTCAGCCTAGCATTCGCCATACCAAGATAAGCAACTTCATCATACACCACGATCCCATCACGCATATCTTCAGCTTGTCATCCACAGCTATCTCGAACATGGGTTGTTATCTCGGGCTTGCGTCAATCTCTTTATCTCAGCAAAGGTTAACAACTGCCGAACAGCAATGCGAGGCAAATCAATAGCAAGGGGCATCACTTGCAAAACCATTTACCGGCTTAATCCGTCTTACACCGGCGACTTTTATGCTATAATGACGGAAGCGGACCGCTCCTCCGGGCGATAAGCCCCGGAATAACCCGGAGAAACCCGGAACGGACCGGGTGGAGAACGGCCGAGGATGGAGGAAGGGAATTATGGGGACGGAACGGAGAGGGGGCAAGGAGACGGTCTATCTTGAGCTCGAGCTCACTAATCTTCTCCGATATTTGATTTCCCCTCCTCAAGTACGGGAATAACAGGAGAAGTCACATGTTTTCACCTACCTTAACCATCCAAGATGACAGTTTACACTCGGTACCTGGGCGGCCCGCGAGCCTCCTCTCTCTTATCGAAGACAGGCTCATCCCGACCCGCAAGGATGCCGCGGAGGGCGGCGGCCAACGCGTTGCTCTTCTGTGTGCCTGTGTCTTCGCCAAAGTGTCCTCCCCGCTGATCCGCTCCCAACCTCGACGGGAGCTCCAATTTCGCCTCGCACGTGGGGTGATGTTCGTGCACGTCATTGGCGAATGGCTCTCCCGCCAAAGCACCACTAACGGAAACGTTTCATCAAGAGTGGTGTCAGCGATGCTTCGACAAGTGCTGTGTCCAATGAGACATCGTCCATATCGTTTGCTAGAGTCTCGTAACCTCGTTAAGTTCGTCTTCGAAGGCGGAGAAGCCCCCGGCTTTACGCCGTCTGACCTATGATGGATCAGATAGCTCGCCCCGGTCTCCACTGTCTTCTGAGCTCTCGGTGTGTTGGTGTCTTGCTTTCTGCTGTACTCGGGGAAATACACGCCGCGTTTGAGCATGGTAACCGCAAGAGAACCATGCCATTTCCAGCATGCAGCTTAATCGCGCTATGAGATGGGCCAAGCGAATAAGATAGGAAGCGGGCCGGCAGACGACGAACAGGATAGCTTCAACGACATGATCTCAAAAGTACAATAGTGGAACACTCTCGCCCTGCGCCAATTTCACTCGGCCGTGTAACATTGGTTGAGGCTCGTTCCTCTCTCACAAAATCACCCCGCAGTGAAGACAACTTGGACCTTTTTAAACTCGTCTGAATTTTGCCTTTTTTTCTTTCTCATTTTCCTGCTTTCGTTACGCCCAGTTCCGTCTCTCATTCGGTCGCTCCGCTTCTCCCCGTCCTCGCCTCATCCCTCTCCCTCTCAACCACCGAGCATCCAACTTCATGATGCATCACGAACCGGACGCAAAGATGTTCGATCCGGCGACGCAGAAGAAGACGGTCGACTCCGGGGCGCCGGCCTCTGATATCGAAGACACTTCCGTTAGCTCGGCAAAGGACATTCTGGAAAATGAGGGCGAGGACCCCGTGCTCGCAATGAAAATGCACCTCGTTAATGACGTATGAACCAACCACAAAAGCAAAGAAGCTTCCAGAGTCTGGGCTCACGAGTCTCTCACCCAGACACGTCCGCCGCCAACACAGCTCTCCATGCTGCCAACCGCTTAACTACAGAAACTAACCAACCCAGGCAAACGATGAAATTGGCTGGACAAACTTCCACTGGAAGCTCTTCGTCCTCAACGGCTTCGGCTACGCCGTCGACTCGCTCATCGCCCTGGTCCAGTCCGTCACCAACGCCGGCGCGATGCTCGAACTCGGCAAGCCTTCCACCTACTCGAACGCGGGAACCGTCTCGCTCTACGTAGGCCTGCTCATCGGAGCGATTTTCTGGGGCTTCGGCGCGGATATCATTGGGCGGAGGATCGCGTTCAACGTCACGCTGCTCATCACGTCTCTTGCGACAATCGTCTCGGGTGCGAGTCCGAATATCGAATCGTGGGGCTTCTTCACTGCGCTATCTGCGTTTGGAGCTGGCGGTAACCTGGTGCTCGATCCGACGGTCTTTCTCGAATTCCTGCCGAGTAATAAGCAGTGGACGGTTACGGCGCTCGCCTTGTGGTGGGGTTTCGGACAGGCTTTGGTGGGCTTCATTGCTTGGGGATTCTTGAGTAAGATGCGATGGGTTTTCCGGCTTTGCAACTGATCAATAAGATGCTGACTGCTTCCCAGCTCAGGAGCGATGGAACTGCACTGAGGGTATGGACTGCAACTGGTCCAACAACCCCGGCTGGCGCTACGTCTCCTTCACCTCGGGAGCCTTCGTCTTCGTCGCGTCCGTTGCGCGAGTGACCGTCATGCGCCTGCAGGAGACGCCAAAGTACCTCCTCAGCGTCGGCCGCGATGAAGACCTAGTGCGCAACTATCAAAAGATGGCGCAAAAGTACAACCGACCGTGCTCGCTCACTCTGGAGAAGTTGACGGCGTGCGGCCAGATCAAGAACGCCGGCCAGAGCAGAAACAACTTCAAGTTTGTGCTTCGCGAGTTGGGCGCTCACGTCAAGGGTCTCTTTTACACCAAAAGAATGACGCTTAGCACTGTATTGGTTTGGTTGTCATGGACGCTGATCGGTTTGGCTTATCCCCTGTTTTACGTCTTCCTGCCGTAAGTTTCGACGAGACCATCAAGAATACGATAGAGATTGACCGAGCGTGATAGATCATATCTTGCCTCGAGAGTGCCGGATAGCACTGAGACGCCCTTCGAAACGTGGCGGAACTACACGTTGACCAACATTTCTGGCATTCCCGGTCCGATCATCGCTGGTTACCTTGCCAATCTTCCTCGCATCGGCCGCAAGTACACTATGGCCATGGGCGCTTTGCTCTCAATGGCTTTCTTCTTCGGCTACACAGCAGTGTCGACCGCTGACCAGAACATCGGTCTCAGTTGCGCGATTGGTGAGTAATTCAATTCCAAGCCTTCTCAAACTTGAAAGCATTTTCAGCTAACATTCGGATCTAGCCTGTGCAATCAATATTTACTACGGTACACTCTACGCGTACACCGTCGAGGTTTTCCCATCAGCCCATCGCGCCACGGGTAACGGTATCGCTGTCGCCTTCAACCGTCTCATGGGTATCGTATCTGCTTTTGTTGCGAGCAGTGGCAACACCGCCACGTCGGTTCCTTTGTACGTCTGCGCGGCACTATTCGGAGTCATGGCCGGCGTGTCCGCCCTGTTTCCCTTTGAGCCATATGGAAAGAGAAGTTCCTAGACTGGCTAGAAGATTTGATTTTCACGTCTGGCTGGCAGTGTCGCATCGAGAAAAACATAGCCTCCAGACATTCGAATGACCTCGACTTTACCTGTCTATTGGGTATGTTCTCGTAACAGCGATACTGGGAGGAGTGAAGAGAGAAAGGATTGCTTTCATTCTGGTACCCCATTCGCATCTTGCAAAAGAACGCCGCATCGAGGGGTTGAGGGACTTGATATCTAGTCTCGACAGATTCCTCGGTTTCAACACCCAATATTGCGATTCTAGAGAGAATCTCGAACAGTACACACGAGAGGCACGATTCGTTTTGTGGAAGAACGCGATTGTGCGGCTGGACGTGTTATTGATAGTCGAGATGTCAGAAAGTTCGATTGCTTCATTACAAATCAAGATACCCCCCATTAAGTCCATCTATTTCCTATCTCTACTTTGCCTACGTGTACCTCAGTTGGTAAGGTACTTCGGTGGTTGACAACCATAGATTTATGCCTGCAGATGGAGTTGCGCCAACGACAGATAATCAAATGTTTAGCCTTAACATCTATGAGTAACAAATGACAAAGAATCATCTCAGTGCCTTGCGAGAGGTGACTGATGCTCGCCACCGTTCACCTTGGAATAACACACCTTCGGCTCGGCCTTCCGCAGAGCTCGGGGCTCTAGGTGTCGCAGGAAGAGGGGCAAGATACGTGCAGGATTAAAGATCGGCTAATCTCGAATCTTTTATGAAAGCAGGTGAATCTACAGGAACATGAAAGAAGTATACGTCCTCATGCCATGTTAGACATGCCGATCGCAGGAACCGTAGATAAGATTTCAAGATTACGGCTCCATAGGCAACTGCTCACGATAGTAGCCGCCAACCCCATTTCATCGTCACCATTCTTAATGTGATCATAGAACTTTACTGGTACCGCTTGCTTATTACTCAGACATTGAAAATATGGCAAGTCAATGGATTTGCGGGGCTACTGGCCATAACTTTCCGTAGGGGGCTAATTCTGCCGATCTCATTGGGCCTGGCCTCGTCTCGAAATGTCTCCTTCTTAAGTTTACTTTCAGATCGGATTGGAGCCTCGAAACCAGTCACGCATCATCCTGCTCAACTTGCACGTGTTCATCGGCTGCTAGCGGGAGAGCGATGGCGGCTGGCGGGCAGCGTCCTTTACTTACCACCATATACCGCCTATGTCCTTCTTGGCACTCCAGCTAGTCGTCCAAACCTTGAGCAGATCGCTCCGGGGGCTCATCCAACTTCCTAATCCAGACCAGAAACTCCAGCCGTCGGAAGCAGTTTTAGACGGTCTGGTGGGCCGGGAGATCGAAGCTCGGCGCCAGACTTGGCCTTAGCTCCCCGCGCGCGGTTCATGCTGCAGCCACATCAGCCTTACAATGCATTTATGAAATGTTTACAGCCCCTCCAGTGCCCCCTCTCAACGTGATCGTTCTCGTCAACTCTAACCAGGATTTAATGTCAGCCTCATTATCCACCATCAGTCCAGACGCTCTTGGCGGTATTAGATTCTGTATTTCCCCTCCAGGTGATTCGTTTCACGGATTGTTTGCCTGCGATGCCGCGTCAATTTGCTCGTGTCGTCCAGAAGGCCAAGCATTTTAGGACTTTCGATCGGCAAAGACAATGGCCTCTGGAGCCGAGGCTCGTCTGAATAAAATCTGACAAACAAAACACTTCTTGTCAAACAATGTAAACTTTCCATTTTGAGCATGAGCTGTCACAGGGTGGGCAGACCGTTGAGTTTGGGTCAAAAGAGGCTCTTTGCGGGAAAGGCGGGATAGAGTCCAAACAAGTTTTGGTTCTATGTAAGAAGCGGGAAGTCAAGGCAAATGAGGGGTTAAAAGTGTTAGCCTTCAAAGGAGAACTTATTTTGTGACAGTTGAGTCAACAGGCCAATTTGAGGGGAATCTGAGAAGACTCTAAGGCACTTAGTGTTATAAAGTATCATTTGGCGAAATTCATATTGATCTACATAAGAGCAGTTCTCGACAGCGGCGATCATGACCCGTGCCATCGTGCCGAACGAAACGGAACACGGGGCTCAAAGGTCCCCAACTACCAAGACAAGTCGACTTTTGCCGAGGCTCTGAGAAGAAACCCCTGCCACCTGTCTCGATCAAGGCAGATGTTTCGTCAAAGATGGGATGGGTGGGAGGCCCGCGGGACTATTCTTAGCCTCTCAGGTGTGCCGCAAGCAGCATCACCAGAACAGACTTCGTCGCATATGAAATCTTGACACTAAGATCTCCAAGTTCGCGTATAGTTCCTACATGTACGCATGGGTTGGCGGTGCTTTTAGCACATTCTGTTGATGGGGATGCCGTGACTCGTTCCCGGGGGGTCGCATATTGGTCCCACGCCGAACCCCTCTCTTACATCTCCATCGCCATGCAGTCTTGGCCTTGGAGACTTCTTGTTGAAACTTGTAGGTGAAAGTCTATGTCGTTCTGACCGAAGTATGAGGCTTCGTTGGTGATCGGCCACGAGCGTTGAACATTCACGTGCATGGGACGGTGTTAAAAGCAACATACTCTAACTCCTGTGTAGTGTAAAGATCAACGCAGTCGATGTGTATAAATATTAGATGGATAGCCACTCTCAAATCCAAAGGTCGGTACTAAAGGAAGCTCATACAAATACAACTTTCAGGACATCGAACAAGACTTGATTAGCAATATTCAACATGCTCGTCCCTTCCCTCAAAATCATCGTCACCCTTGGTGTCGCATTCTATGCCACCGCTGCGCTGGCGGCTCCCAACGTGCAGATGGGAGCTGATGTTCAAGACTTATCCGAGGTAAGTTGATGGAATCTACGAGTTGAAACAAAGTTGGATGCTAATGGATCTGGGCAACTAGAGGAACGAGGGTCTTGTGAGTTCTCCCTGACCTTACATGTACCCAGCTCAAGCCTTTTATTGGTGCTCTCAGCTGACTAGGTTAACCACAGGAACAACCTGACTTTGACGCCGTCGCTGTAAGCTCTGAAGCACGGCACATACTATATTGGAGCACCGACTGACTTCGGTATCACAGGGACTCGACGATACCATCGAGGCCCGTGGCAAGCCACCCCGCCGTCCCAACAATAACAACAATAACCGGAGGCCCAATCGGCAGCCCAATGGAAAGCCCAGACGTCCCCCAAAATAAAGGAGATGGGCAAATGCATGCATCATGCTCCAAAGAACGCCTCACTGGTTGCCAACGTATTACGGTTCGGGGTGGTCTCAATGAACGTCACCAGTCAATGGTCTTGATGGACATGCTGCTGTCATTGGGTGTAGAAGAGAGAGTTTGGGAGCTGTGAGGCCATGAAGTGATTGAGACAAGGTGGATTCGGTGTATATATGCTTGAGAAAGAAATTGAAGAGAGTGTTCATCATCATTAAGAATATCGGTGTAGGTATGGCTAAGAATGGCATCAATGCGACCCTTCTCGACAGGCAAGGACATTGGCAGAATGAAAGCCCGGCATACCTCACGAAGAAACCCTGATAATGACCAAAATTATGTGCATACATGCAGGATATCTGGATTTCTTGTTCCTACACTCGTGGACTACCTATGTCCATCGATATGAGACGCAATTACAGACGTGAACAGATCGCAAACCATACCTGTCGGAACACTCGGCCACCACCTTATTGTTACGTTCTATCGCATATAGCCACGGAAGCCTGGCTATCTCGATGACAACACAAATTTGACCCAGGCCCACGCTGGCACACTGGCGAGTGTCCCCCGCATCCGTAACACCCAAGGCCTGTCACACAATCTCCTCTGCCAGGATTACAAGGGTCCCCTTGTCCTCTCGCTCTTTTTCGGAGCCATGGTTGCTATCCTGTGTTAGCCAATTGCAACGTCCAAGTTCGTGTAATCTTGAGTCAGAGGGCGGGTTCCTTACGGTCGGATCTTCTACCCAGGATGTGTGATATTCCGCCCCGAGACTTGCTTCTGACACCAAATTTTTGGCATCGGCTGTTGGCGCAGTAGATGCATGGGTGATTATTGTCGCAACAATAAGCAGAGGTGAGAGCGTCTTCATCTCTCTAGGTGGGGAATTCGAGGTGAGCCGATGGTAGCAAGACGTTAAGTTACTGTTCCGATGATGAACAGTACATGTATCTGGAGCAATTCTATGAAATTGACTATTTGCAGTAATGTGAGTCCTCTCTAAATACATATCCAGTGATCTGGTGGGACTTGAAGTTATATAGCGACGCGCTCAAGCCTCGAGTGCGTACGATGAAGTCTTGCTTCGGGTCACAGCGTGCGTCATCCGAACTACTCTGTTGCAGCCCATCACTTATCAACGGTGCAGTGATGTATTGCCGTTGGAAGTGAAGTGAAGTTCAGAATTACGGCCGATTGGCCGTTGTATGAGCATGGACGGTGTGTTTGTCGGGGACCATCAGACATGTCTCCCCGGTCTAGGCATATAGAATAGGAAGAGCACGAGTAGGCACGTACTTGACGCTGGGAAAACCTGCCATAGATGACTGAAGGGGTATAATGTCCGGACTTACAATTGCTACCACTAATAGTCTGCCACCAAAGGCTTCACTGATGGACCGACGCAGCTCCATGAAGAAGAGGCGTCTGCATCTTGTGATGAACCATGACTAAACACCTTCGAGCTAGTGATAATACCGAGCTGAGTAGATGTTATGAGAACATGACTGCCGATTGATAAACCTAGTTTGGTAAGACGACGGCGAAAGTGTCGCCGTATGCAAGCTGGTAGGGCTCAGAAGCATCATGCACGCTCGCTGCCGATAACCCCCGTCGGCGATCAAAAGTTCGGGCGACGCGCACATCAGCCGAAAGCTCGTCGCTGAGGCCCTGAGCCACCGTCCTGATATGTTCGGCAATCGACATAAGGAAGAGATGGCAGACCTTGGGCTTTGGAAATGCCTGTGTATGCAACGAGGAGGTGTGACGGCTTTTGATGATCAGCCTATAAGAAAGAGTGAGAGAAATAAGTACACACGTACAATCGTGATCCCACAATCTTCCATTACTGCGCCTCGTACCGTTTTAGAGTAAAAGTCTGCTCATTTCAGATCCACAACGCGTTGTAAAATGAACGATTTAGCGGGACACCTATTGCAGATAATTTGCAGGGCTCTGTGGGATGCCGTACAGCTACGATGCATTAGGGCATATTGCCAGGAAAGATACAAAAGACCGCTACGTACTCAAAGACAGGTATCCCGCCATAGTATCACTGGCAGGCAACTGAACCTAGATGCCATCGTGAAGTGGGGTGAACCCCTGGTCTTACGAACGTCGAGCCCCAGTTGAGAAGTAAGAGAGCGGATAAGCCTTCGGGTTATTCTAGACCGAGGATGAACATATGCCTTTTAAATCATAAGACCGGCTAAATTCTGATCCCGCATCGGTCACAATCTCCTTAGTGCATGATTGACCAAGATTTCTCATTCCTTGAGGACTGCACCTTGCACTTGGCCTAGCAGTTAGATTAATCACGTATCAAAAAGGTTTTCGCAAATGTGAATGCACGAGGAGGCTAATAGTTTTGTATAACTTACGAAGGTGACTTGATATGCTTTGCAACATGGAGACGGTACTCCTCGTTCAAATCGAAGGAAAAATTGCCTTTTTGGATTAACTGCTTGAATACTTGTAAGCCCTGTTGAACTCTATCTTTCAGTCGCGTATGGTCAGTG